ACCCTCACCAGCAGCGTTACTGTATTGGTCCTGCAAAGTAAGAAACAAACACTAACTCAAGCTTTCAGCATTTATCTGATCTACATGTTATGATTTGAGAATACAGAAATGACCAGAAAAAGGGCATTGTGCAGAAATGGATTGCATGAATGCTCCAAATAAATCAGCAAACAGAATAAAAATCATTTAAAAAGATAAATAAATGGTCACTTATCTCTAGCAGAGACCGAAACTCACCATGATCTTCAGATTTAAGCTGTCCAGCAGTGTGCGATTGGTCCGATTGCTACTATTGGACACAACAGGAGTTGAAGCTGGAGCCTCGGGGGCTAATTTCACCGCTTTATTGGCAACAACATTTAGTGGAGTCTAAAACAGAAACACAAATACGTATCCTGAAGTGAGCAATACGATATAAAGCTGCACATACAATAAATTGGGCAAAATAAAGTGCGTCTTCTCACCTGCTTGCTCCACAGATGTTTGGTTTCGTCCAAAGCCAACACAAACTGGACAACATACTGTCCTGCAAGCTCTGGAATCTGCTTATCCCTGAAAAAGACACATAAAAGACATACTTACATATTTTATACATGTATAGCTGCTATTGCTTTTAAGCAAACAGACACAGGATGATGTGTTTACCAGCAAATGAACGATTCCACGATTTTTCTATGGCTTTGAAGGTTTCAGTCATTTCCAGTAATGTAAAATAACTTAGAAACTCTCTGCTATAGTCAGGTTTTTCCTGAAAGTGTCTTTAAATACTTGAAATGCAGGACATTTCGGAGAGAATCTGCACCAGTGGCAGACAAAAGGTTTTCAAATACTAACAATGCTTGAAAACATAACTGCTTATATGTATACATTACATATACCTTAGTATATAAACATATCTATACATGCAGGATTTATTGCACTTACACTTATTTATGCACATGCATTAGCACTTGTAACTTTATAATAGGTTTTTGTACTTGTTCGTATGTCTCTGGCTGCTAGAGGATTCACAGAGTAAGAATTTCATTGTAGAGTGTAACTGTGTTTCCTGTACATATGACAATAAACTATTGATGGATTGATTGATTGAAGTTCTTATTTCAGACTTATGTTGCTTTATTACCTGAAGCAGAAGCAGTCGTCGTTTTCTGTGTCTTTGCGTTTACTACACTTCAGAGTCGAGGCCTAAGTTAAAACACAAAACATTGTCCGATTTACTCAATTTTTCAAAATATTGTTTCATACTATGTATTCTCCTTTAACACATAATATTACAACCGGCTCTGTATGTCATATAATTCCAAATCCATGTCGTCAAAATTGTATTTTGTAATGCCCGAGCAAAAATGCATGTTACATAATGTTGTCAGTCACAAAGAATACTTAAATGTTTTTTGGGATACTTCCATCAATACAGCCATCTATTGGCCTTTATTGTCATAACATTATTTTGACCTGACAAAGTCATTTTTCTTTCATATGGCAGCAATCTGGCCCAAATGCATCATATTCTACTACTGTTTATACAAATATATAAATATATATATATATATATATATA